TGTGTGTGTGTGTGTGTGTGTGTGTGTGTGTCTTTCATTTGGGAATCCAGAACACTGGGGCAGGTAGCGAGGAACTCAGGCTGCTGGCGCTGGGGTGATTTGAATAGCTTTAATCAACAGCAACACACCTCCAGCCGCCTTTAATGAATTAATCACAAACTGCTACTGTCACAGAAAAGAAAGCCCTGCCCCTTGGCTGAGGCCCCTGGGACCACACCACCACCTGTGGCATAGTTACAAAGCTTCTCCTCGACAGTTCAGTCAACTTAAGGAAATGTCAGAGGCCAGAAGAATAAAGGAAGCAACACTGGGGTGAATCAGCAGGCCACACACTGTAGACAACCCTGCGGGATAAACTATCTGGCTTCCTTAGCAAATAAAGTACAAGGGAAGGGGAAAAAAAAAGTAGAAGTGGCAGGAACTAGAGACTAAAAATAGGGACAGAGGCGTTGTCTTTGCCAGCCACGTGTGCCAACTAGTTTGTATCCCTGGTTTCTTAAACCTATAAAATGCATATGGCATCGTGGGGGTCTGGGAGATGGTTCCACCACAAAGGGCTTCCTTTGCAAGCGTGAGGAGCTCACTCTCCAGAGCCCACATGAAGAGCCAGGCGTAAACACTGTGTGTTTTTCTCATTGTTTCATAGGAAGACACTCGGTGAGGGATGCACCTAACCCAAAATGTGCAGCCAGTGGTGGGTAGGTCTCGATGGCAAAACTCATAAAATAACTGTATTTTAAAGAGCTAATAAGCTAAAAGTATTTGTCCCCACAGTCTTAGGTCAGAATGGGTATATCATTAAATATGTTGTGTAATGCCGCCAGAAATCAACCAGTAAGCCCCACCTGTCCAAGGACCCAGTAACTTCTTGGAATGCTAGCAGTTCAGTTCTTTAGAAAATAACAAAGCCCCATGGGAAAGTATGGTGGCCTATAGGTTTGGTCTTAGAAACCTCTGCAACGCTTGTCTCAAGCATTTAACTGGGAAATTCTAGGAAACGGTCCTGACCAAAGTCCATCTCTTGGTCAGTATTTAATATTTAATATAGCTTGTTTCAAATTTGGCTGAAAATGATGGGATTGATTTTCTCTGGTGAATTTCATGACTAACAGTTCTTATCCACTGTATATACAATTATGTAACATAAACTGTTACAGTTAGATGCAGTCATTGGAGAAAAAAGACCCAGGTATAGTGGTGTATACATATAATCCTAGCTCTGGGCCGGTAGAGATAGGTGAAGCCCTGGGGTTCACTGACCAGACAGTGGAGCCCAATCGGTGAATTTCATGCTGAGTGAGAGATACTGACTCAAAAGATGAGGTAGATGGTGTTGGGGGCCAGGAGTCACCTCACACACCACACCTTTCTCAGTCAGTTACAAACAGTTTATTGAGCACATGCCCCAGGACTGATGGATCAGGGCCATGATTCTGGCTTGGGAGTTGAACTGTGACATTAAGTTAAGATCCTACAAGGTTTTTTTAGCCTAAAATCAACAAATATCTGTCCCAAGTTATTCCACCAACCTGGATTTAGGAATAGGGGATTTCTTTCGGAACTTGTCTTTATTGTACACTTACTTGCTCCCATTGGTTGGGGTATTCAACTGTGGCAGGGGACTTGTCAAATATTCATGTCTTAACTTGCCAACCAGGATGCTAGTTACCCACATATGTGTCTCTTTCTGCCAAGTAGGATATCTGTTGCCAGGGAGGTCTTGGAAATTTAAACTTTACTCGACCCCCTTCTCAAAATGGAAATCTTTTTCCAAATAGTTTCTTATATTGGTGCAGATGTCTCTCTTAGGTCGGGGCTCATCCCAGGGGCAGTTTATAAAAGTAAATATCATAAAAGCTTATACACAGGTGCAGGAAGTGCTGCTGGGTGGTTGGTTCAGGTCCAAGCTTATTATGGGTAACTACACAAAGCAGTTCTACTGACTTCTGTTGTAATTGGTTTCCAAGGGCACAGAACATAAGAGAATATGTAATCAACTTGAGCATGAGAAAGTTTCCTAGTAACAGCAGAAAGTTCCCTTATAATATTAGCAGCAGCACAAAATGGCAGGCTAGCCAGGTAACAGTCACTAGACCTTAACATTCCATCCAGGCCTTAACATTTTACCTAGAACTTAATAGATGGTGCCTGAGGAAAGACATCTCTGACTTCATATCACACACACACACACACGCACACACACACAAAAAAAAAAGAATGGTTCCTGTCCAGTGATTTGGACCACTCCATGCATTAGACTGTTCTGTTGTGAAGTTCTGTCTTCTATTCCCCAGGAGATCCCACCCCAGGTATACTCCCTGACCATCACAGAGGAATGAATAGACACAATCATGACACCAGAGACCAGAACCAAATCCAGGTAATGTACCTCCAGGCTCCTGGCTTCCTTGCTCATTACCCATGTCACAGCTCTGTTTCCAGGCAGGGATGCCTTCAGATCTTCTGAGCTCCACCCCTGACTTGTTAGATACCTTTGTGCCTTGGCACATGAGGGACCCTGTGCCTGGACCATCCCTCATGGGGAGCCTCACCCATGAAATTCCTGTCCTCTAGAACTCCAGGAAATGCTGAGACTGTGTCACTGGATGGTCAGAAGTTAAGGCTGGGCTGCATGGACATGTATGCACTGAGGGGAACTCACTCAGCTCCTCAGGAGAAATTGGGGGGGGAGCGAGGCAAGCAAAGTGTTCTCTCTTTCTTTCTCTCTTTTTCCCTTTCTGCCTACAGATTAGGATGTAGCTCTCAGCTATTGCTCCAGCATCTGTCTGCCTGCTGTCATGCTGCCTGCCATGATGATAATGGACTAAGCCCCTGAAACTGTAAGCCAGCCTGTTAAATGCTTTCTCTTATAATAGTTGCCTTGGTCATGGTGTCTCTTGACAGCAGTAGAACAGGGACTAAGATACAGCGAATCTTGGAATCTTACTTTAGTTTGTGGCTGAGATCTTATGAGGGGGGAATAGATGTTGTTTACATTTTCCCAGGGAGGGGATTTTTGAAACACGTCAGAGGTTGACCATTTCCTCATCCCCTGATGACTGAGGTAATAGACACAGCTAACCCTTTCTGAGGGCTTCCATGCATCTGGATGCTTGATTGTACGGCACCACCTTTAGCGCCAGGATAAACTTGCTTATGACCAATAGTCCCACCTTACAGATACATAGAATGAGGCACAGAAAGGTCTGTGCACATAGCAAATGGGAACTCTGGCTCTGGTCTGCATCCTTAGCTGCTGCCTTACACAATAGAGTTGTGTTCTGGTAACATGCCAGCCTCTGAAGAAGCAACTGTCCTTCATTCTGGGGAGAGGCTGGGACCAGTGGAGATAGCAGACACCCTAGCTACAGTGTCAGGATAATGACCTCCAACTGAGGCTCTTCAAGGAGATAGAACAACCTAAAAGCCTGTCTGGCACCAGCTACGCAGGGCCACCCATGCCAGCCTTGCAGGAAGGGAGCTGACCTTCACTGCCGAAGTCTCCTTTCCTTCCTCTGTCATGCCCTTCTCCTTCCTTGAATCACAGTGCCTACCCTAGTCCTGACAGCATTGCTCAATCCAGGAGCACAGTTCCTGTGGGCTGAGCCTGACTGGCTTGGTCATCTCTTTTCTGCACTTCAAGGGAAAGGCAAGATCTTGCACAAGAGACCCCTTGCGTCTGTCTCCTCCGGCTGGCCGAGGAAGGGTGCCATGGGATCTCTCCACCTGTTTCTCCTGCTGCTGGTCACAGGTGGGACCGCCTTCTACAACACTTTCTTTTCCTCACCTTTCTTGAGCAGATGGCTAAGGGGTGGGGAGCGGGGTGGCATGAAGGGGAACTATCACGGAGGCTGGAGTCGTGGCACGCTCAAGTGTCCTGCTTTGACTCTGCTTTCCACCTCACTGGCTCGAGTTCTTCACACCATCCTCCCTGGAATTAACACCCACCTATAGGAAGGGTTTAGGGGCTGCTGGACTTGGTCACTGAAGGAGCTGTGAAGGTGACACTAGCTGTGAGGTAGGGGACCCGTCGAAGCACTGCCAGGAGCCCTTAAACACTCAAGAGGTGCTTACATCATAAGTAGGGGGGGGCAGAATGGGAGAGAAAGGAGAAAGACAGACTAGGATTTGCATCTTCCTGGAGCCCCTCCCGTATTCGACCTCAGCGCTCAGCGAGAGGTGAGGATGCTAAAGGCTTTGTCAGTGTATCCTCACTTGTGATAGACTGCCTCTTCCCACTGTGGGCTGGGTGCCTCCTGTTCCTGTGGAGTAATGGACAAATCCAGGTAAGAGAAGAAGCTACCCTGCAGTGTCTCCGCTGAAAGTGGAAGGAGAAGTAGGGAACCTAGCCTGACTCTAGGCAGACGGACGGACGGACAGACGGAGGGCTCGAGTTCTGAAAAGCAGGCCACCAGCTCCTTGATCCCTCCTTTCATATTTCCATCTCAGTAATAGCTGTAGACAGGATGCAAGAGGTAGAAAGTTTAGATGAACCCCTGTCCTCCTGCCCCGGCCACAACTTGGCGGATGCTCCAATGCCATCTCCTCTACCCCAAGAGGATCTCCAAAATAGAAGTCTCATGTCTCCCCTCAAAATAGCTCTGAGACAAGTCCTTCTTAAAAGAGGAACAGAGCCACAGAAATAGGGAAGCTGAGTTCAAAGTTAGGAAAGGCGAGGCATCCAGCATGGATGACTGAGGAGCAGATGGCTAGATAGGGGCAGGAAGGGGCCATCCCAGCCCTCAGGGAACCAGCCTGGGCTCTAAGGATCCATTAACCTTGCTCTCCTGAGACGATTAGGGCAAAATAGACATCCTGGTCCCATATGACCTGAGGGAAGATGTCTTAAATAGAGCCAGAGGGATTTCAAGAACAAAATACGTCTTAGTCAGCACGATGCTTGACTTGCAAGCATGAGAATCTGTGTTTGAATTCACAGAACCCATGAGAAAAGTCAGTTATGGTGGCATATATGCCTGTCTCCCAAGAACAGAGACACACGAGGCAGAGATGGTCAGATCCCTAGAAACTCACAGGCCAGCTTGGTCCATGGTATGAATTTCTGCAAAGGAAGCAACTCATCAAAGGAAGGGTCCATTTTGACTTGTAGTGTCAGGGAAACACTCTATCATAGAGGGGAAGACATGGTGGCCAGAGGCATCTGTAGTGCATGCTCAGTCAGGAAGTTGAGAGATAAATGCAACCTCTGGGTTCTCTTTGTCCTTTTGACATAGCTAGGGACTTTGGCCCATAGAATGGTACTGTCCATAGTCAGGGTAGATCTTCTTACACCAAAGAACTGAGTCCAGATACTCTTTCACTGATATTCCTATAGGCTAACCTGACCTGGAAAATCCCTCACATGTAAGCTCACAGATTTGCCCCTTAGATGATTCTAGAGCCTGTCAGGATGACAGTCATTACTATATTGCACACATGTGAGATATCCCGTTTCCAAAAAGTGGAAGGTGCCCAAGGCCAGAGCTTATCCTGACCGTGTACGCACTGTGCTCCCTGTGTTCCTGGAGCTGCTTCCAAATATTCTCTTTGGAAGCATAGAAAAAAAAAAGCAAGATTCTATTTTCCCTTGTGGTGTCAGGTGATCCCCCTTGTTCCCCGCACTAGGGGGGCAGAGGTGGGCAGATGTCTGTGAGTTCAAGGCTGGCCTGGTCTACTAAATGAGTTCCAGGACAGGTCAGCCTCTTCTATAAAGTGAGTTCCAGGACAGCCAGGGCCATAGAGACCCCCTATCTTGGGGGGTGAGGAGGCTAGTTCCAAGGTGTGCCACCTCTCCCTAGAGACACTAAGCTCTTTAAAGGCAGGATGCTTGTCTGTATAGTTTGCTGCTCCTGGTAGACGCTCAGTAAATATTTGGTGGGCGGACGAAAACAGCAAGCGGCTGTCTCCTCGGCAGAGCTGTCCCAAGCCCTCAACACCACGGTGCTGCAGGGTGTGACCGGAGAGTCCCTGAAGGTGTCATGCACTTACGACGCTGTGAAACACTGGGGTCGACGCAAGGCCTGGTGTCGTCAGCTGAGTGAAGACGGCCCGTGCCAGCGTGTGGTGAGCACACATGGTGTGTGGCTGCTGGCCTTCCTGAGGAAGCGGAACGGGAGCACAGTCATCGCCGATGACACCTTTGCTGGAACCGTCACCATCACTCTGAGGAACCTCCAAGCCGATGACGCGGGCCTCTACCAGTGTCAGAGCCTGCGAGGCCGAGAGGCTGAGGTCCTGCAGAGGGTTCTGGTGGAGGTGCTGAAGGGTGAGTACACAGTGGCTAGTTGCACCTTTGGCTGGTCCTTGGGCTAGATCTCGTTGTTGCTGGACTTTTTTCAGGGGGACATAAACCAATGCCTGTCCCAGATTAGCCATCGCAAACAGAGCTAAGAAATGACTCAGTCCAGGTCTAGCTCAGTGAATTAGTGAGTAGCCTGGGGCTACTTGTAGTGCATGGTCAAGGGTTTATTTACAGACAACTCTAAAGCAACTGTTTCATCCAAATATACCCATCCCAGCATGGATGACGAAACATAAAACAGCAACCTTGCTGCTCCCTGCATCCCTGGGGTTCTCTGCATCCCTAGTGCTCCCTGCATCCCTGGAGTTTCCTGCATCCCTGGGGATCCCTGCACCCCTGTAGTTCCCTGCACCCCTGGGGCTCCCTGCTTCCTTGGGGCTCCCTGTATCCCTAGTGCTCCCTGTACCCCTGGAGTTCCCTCCATCCCTGGAACTTCCTGCTTCCCTAGTGCTCCCTGTATCCCTGGGATTCTCTGCATCCCTGAGATTCCCTCCATCTCTGGATCTCCCTGAGAAACTTGTAGGTCCTAGTTAGAGTCTCCTCTCCCTGACAACTGTAATGGCAGATATAATTTTGGGCTGTGTATATAGGATTTGTAAAGTGCCTGAGCCTAGTACATTTTCTTTACTCTTTGAGTTATATGATCCTCTCTCCTCCCTCCAGGAAGACATGTTTAGTTCAGAGGAAATGGCTTTACAGCACTCAAGTTCAGACATATATGTAAAGGGCTATCTCTGCCTCCCTAGCTCTTAGAAAAATATACTGCATGGATCCCATGGATCTAGAATACTCACTGTATCATGAGTCTAGAATACTCACTGTATCAT